CTCTTTCTCTTTGGTATCTTTTTGAGGTTCTTGCACTTCTCTCTCTGTTCCCCACCAACTGAGGTCCTTGTGGCTTGAGGAAGGCCTCTATTCCAGGGCCACTAGGTCACTTGAAGACATTCACATGGATAAAATCCCCTGGAAAGCCCCAGATGGTTGTGCCTAGGAGTTTCACTCTGGGTCTGTGCATGTCATGTACCACCACACAGGACCCAAGGATCACTGTGCAGATCTCCTCTTGGGAACAAAGGACATAATCCCTCAGATACTCAAGCCCAAGATCACAGCCCTGCCCTAGACTAGCCAGCACCAATGACTGGTCAATACAGGAGTAGGAAGAGCCCTTCACTCCACCTTGGAATGACTCTGAAGGGCCATCCCAGCTTCAGGTCTCTCTGGAGTTTGAAGGAGGACTTTGTTGAGGCTGTACCAAATCTTGCTTCCTCTCCTCATCTCCAGCAGGTACTAACACAAGAGCATGCTTCAATAAGCCTCCAAGGCTTGCTCGTCAAGGCCAGACTGTAGGGAACCCAATCCCTGGTGCATTGCCGTGATGTAGGCGAGCAGTACTTACAGGCGTAGCTCCACTCCTGGATGCCATAGGCCACGTGAGCCAGGTTTCCAGGAGAAAATGGGCTCCTGCATTTTTAAAGCTCCAAGGCCAGGTTGCATAGTATGAAGTGTCCTTCCTTCCCGTGTGGTGTGAGAAGGAGACTATGATGCTGACAACTCTAGAAAGCCAATCGCTGTCCTCCACTCTATCCATCCCTGTATTCCCTCCAAGTAGACAGTGCTCACAGAAAGCACGCCCATCTCCACAAAGCTCTTTCTTGGGCTCTGCACTTCGGAGTGGCAACCACTGTCTTGGAACCTCAGCGAAAACTGAAGCAGAAGGGTCCCATTTAAAGCTCTGTCACAGGCCAAATCCATTCCATTAGCCATGAAGGCCTCGGATCCCACTCCCTGTCACTCCCCCACTCCCTGTCACTCTTAGCTATCCAGATTCCAGGGCAGAGACACTTTGGGCCCGAGGTCATCATTTCAAGTGGCAGAGCACCTTCATTTCTGCTCATGCGCTCTAAGGTGGGGTGGGCCTGTCCTTCCCACTGGCCATGCCTCTCACATGGGTGCTATTTCAGTGTTTCACAGATCATCACTATCTGGCTGCCTGGCCAGGCCAGGCTAGGCCTCATCCGGTCTTAGAGGTAGATGTGCCTGGTAGCCCAGATTTTTCTTGTTCTCTCTCTATTCCCTCTCCCCCACCACCACCACACCAAATCTTGCCAGGCCTTCATTTAGACTCTACGGTTGGGAGGGCAGGGAAGAAATCACAGCTACCAGAAAGATGCCTGTTGATTTCCAAAGCCTTCCTAGGGAGTGAACGTGTATTCATCATTTGGGGAATGTAGCATGTGCTCAGTTGCACAGCATCCTCCTAGCGGGAAGGGAGCCTATGCCCTCTTCCCCAAGGCTGACACCTTGTTTCCCTCAATGCAGCAGTGTACTGTGGCCATGGACTGATGACTCCTTCACCATTAGTTGAGTGACAGAGAAATAAATTCATGCCTTTAACCTGGAAAACCCTCAGCCCTAGACCTAGCAATAGAAGGCTAGGTTGGTCTCTAAGACATTGGTAATCTAGGTGTAAGAAGTGGGGATATGGGTTAGTTATACCTGCAAATTCTGGATTGTGGGGGCCTCAAGTCACGTGGTTAACATGATAAAGCACATGTGTGTGAAATGATCTCACAGCATTGGCCTCAAGCCAACCACAGAAATATGGTGTTCTGGTGTTGGAGTTCAGGGACAGACAGTGTGAGGACAGATTTTGTAAAGTTACAAAAGGGGTTGGTTTTGTTTGGAGCAGCAGACAAGCACGAGGAAAGGGGTGACTCAGTAAGGCTTTCACTAGAGGAGTCACAGCTTCTGCCAAATGGCCCCTTTTCTCATCTCTGTTACCTACTTCTTATGCTTCCTGTACCCTAAAACCTTAACAGCCAGACAGGGCCAGCGTCCTTCAATGCCAGGCCCAAGTAGCCTCTCTTGTTTCTTCCTGGGCCCTGTAATAAGACACCAGAAATTGGCAAGTACCAAGGAAACAGCCCAGCCTCCCAAGATTTCTTCTGCTAAATCCTTCACATTCTAATCTGATGATTTTTTTTTTTTTTTCCCAGAACCGGGGATTGAACTCAGGCCCTTGCACTTGCCAGGGAAGCACTTATTCCACTGAGCCATCTCCCCCGCCCCTCTCATCTGATTTCCAACTACACCTGGAAACACACTGTTTGTTACTTTGTTAAGACCACCAAGGCCACCTTGTTCCCACCCACTTTCAGCATCTCACATGCCTGCTCTTGACCACATCTGTAAGCTAACTCCTTGCCACTAGCTCATACTTTTAATGAGACACTCTATACCCAAGAGGGAGTTAGAGACCCTCTTGTTAAGACAAACAGGTGTTCTCTTAGAGCCACAGCCTTTGTCCCCAAGTAGTACAGGAAGAATTCAGATATTTGCTGGGAAATGGGCAACTCACTCTTGCTTGCAGGCAACTTAGGAGTTTTTTTTATGGGTGCCCTCTGCTGCCCTAACATTAAGGTCTCTAGAGGCCTTCCACTAAATCTGGGGACCTTGCTTCCCCACCACCTTTCAAAGCTTTTCCCCATGGACGCTAAAACCTAAAATCAGCCTGTATCAGGTGGGCATTTTCAGGTCCTTCTTACAAAGGTTGTTGAGCTGAATCCTGGAAGAAATATTAAGAGGTCATGGGGTCACTCGGCTCAGCTCTAAGCAAGGCTGGGTTCAATCCATTGGGGAATTATATTGGGCTATTGGTGAATCTCTCAGACACTGCCAAAATCCCAGACTCTTCAAAGCTATTCTCTGGGATTTCCACAAAATCTGTCCAGTTGTTTTTCTTAGCTGGGGGACCTTTCACTTATAGGGCAAAATTCCAGTTACAAAGAAGTAGGCTGGGCGCGAGGAATGAACTATGTTAATATGGATAATGTGCCTTTAAGTTGTCCTCCCTCTTTTTTGGTGCTGGGGACAGACACCAGAGCCTTGTGTATGCTAGGCACACTTCTAGCCCCCACCTTTCTCTTTAAAAATCCCCAAAGCTGATTTCCTAACTTCATCTCCCCCAGTGGTTGAGGACTGAGGGTGTCCTTCTGTGTTGGAACTACTGCTCTGTGACTTGTTAACACACCACAGAGCTCAGGAGTTCAGATGCTGACTGACTGTGGGCAACAAAGAGCCATCAAGGTGCCGGGTTGTTAGTGTTGTTTTTTTCACGTCCAAGTGAAATAAATTTATAGTGGATTAGAAATGTGTCTACCAAATTGAGTGTCTCCTTAAGATAAATAAATGTGTCCACTAGGGTCAGGTAGCTAGGGAAGCACCTCAGGATCTCACCCTTCAGCTTCTTAGAGAGAAAGGTGCAATGTTTGAATTCACTGTGAAGCATAATGATGGATTTCTAAATTCGTATGCATAACTCAGCCGCTCTAGGAAAACGAGAAAAGGGTTTTTTTTTCCCCACATTGTGAGTTCCCCCACCCTATTCTACTTTACGATGCCTTTCCAAGGCTCCTGAGAATATCTCCACCCCTTTTCCTGTGTACAAGAGAGGGAAATGGGTGTTTATTTTGTATTATAGTGCTGAAACAAACCATGCCCTTCCCCCTAAAGTCCCTTCTCTAGATGATTCTAATATAAACTGGCAGGAGGTTGGAAGAAGAAATGCATCGAGTTTTCAGGGCCAAGGCGGACCAATTCTGGAACCTTCGTTTCTTACTGAAACCCACACCTGTGAAGCCTATGTGCCTTTCCTCAGACTAGAAGAGCCTCGCCTGTTCCTTCCGGAGATTTCCTCTCTGGATCGCGGTAGGGTTCTGGGAGAGCACGTAAGCGCGCGCGAGAGTCCCGCAGCACACGTAGGAAGCATGTCACATCCAGGTACCAACTCCCCAGGGTGCAAGCGAACATGATGCAAGCATGTACTACTACTGAGAAAAGCCCTGAGCTCTTACCACCTGGTTAGAGCCACTACATGCAGGTAGTCTTCTAGTTCCTAGGATTTCACAGAGGCCCGGGGGATGGAGAGGCCAGGCCGAGCGAGACCCAGTGACCTGAGCCCTTGAAGCCAATTCTCACCCCAAGGTCACACTGGGAAGCAGTCTTACTTCTCTAACTCTCACCTCATCAGAGAGTTGAAAGCAGGATAAGAGGGACCACTGGAAGACCCTCCTCCACACATTTTGCTGCAACCAAACTGCCCAGCACTACTTCTGGGCAAATAGTCCAAGAATTGGTTGAGGGGAAGGCCAGGCGCGGCCCAAGCTCAATTTCACTGCCCTGCACCATTCCTCCCAGGCCCGTTTCCCCACCTCATATCCCAGTGCGCAAGGTCAACCTCGTTCCTCCACAAGGAACGCACGGCCCGGGCTCGGACGCCGCCTTCGACGTCCCGCGAGTTATTCCCGCTAGACCCAAGGGTCGGCGGCGGCAGGACGCGGGGCGGAGGACGGGCTCCGCTAGGCCTGGCCGCCCGAGGCGCTCCCGCCGCGGCCCGGCCCACTTCCCCGAGGACCGCGGCGCCGTGCGCTCCTGAAGACCCGCGCCCCGCCGCCGCTCCACCCGCACCGGGCGCGCTCCCCTGCGCACGGACCTCAAAAACAACCCGCAGATCTGCAGAAGGAGGAGGCCGCGACCCGACCGCGGGGGCAGGGGGCGGGCCAGGGTCAGGCCGGGCTGCGGCCGCGCCTCCCCATTGGGCGGGGCGGAGCAGCAAGCCGCG